CCAGAAACCAGGGAAGGGCCATGGGCAAGGCTCCTAGCCTGGTTTGTGGTACCCAGGGTGGAGCCAGCAGAGCATCCATCTAAATGTACTTCTGTAGGGAGCTGGGGGTTGGGCCTCAGACAGCTCATGCCAAGGGCTTCCAGTGGTTCAGCCATGGCCCTTTACAGATCTCATAAAAAGATCAGGGTCCTTAGGTCCCCCTTGGGCCTTTAGTGAACAGGCTGCTCATCCAGGAGGGACCAGCTGACTAGAAAAGACAAGTTTCTGGCCCCTGGAGATGAGCCAGCCCAGCAGTTGAGCCACTGCCTGTAGGTGGAGTGAGAGAACTCTCAATCTCCTACCCATAGCTTCCAGAAAGCTCACAAGGGTAAAAATGGGCCAATGGAAGAGGACCCCAGGCAGCCTCCCTAACATGGACTCCTTGTGTCCAGAGGTGGAGTAGGGCGGCCTCCAAATTAGCCCCTCACCAGTGCCTTCTTCAGACCACCTGCCTCCAGGCTCTTCCTGCCCTTTGCTTTGACATCAAGCTTATGGCCCGCTGGGACCCAGGACTCCAGTTCTGACCTGGGACACACAGTTGAGTGGTCCTCAGTTACAGAGTCCTTCAAGTTCAAGGAGCCAAGGACAGTGACAGCGGTGTTGGCCTGGATGTTCCCACTGGTGTCAGCTCTGCACCTGTTTCTATGGTAGCAACACAGGAACCTGAGTTAGGGCCTGCCACTTTGCTCGGGAGGGACTCCTGATTTCTTGTTAGAACAGCCAGAGACCAGAGACCCATGTCCATTCACTTCTCACTCCCTTACCCACTGTCTCCTTGGCACTCCAGGCCCTAGACCACAACTCCCATCCACCCAGAACACCTCTTCTTCCCTTCATTAGAGAGGGTGACCCGCGGCTACTCCCTCTTGAGCTCTCTCCAGTTCACTGAGAGATCTAACTCAGATCTTGCCTGCTGATTCTTAACCTGGTCTTTCCTGCTCTGTTCTTAGAGATGGCATTCTTAGTATTTCTACTCTGAGACCTGCCTCAGCCATTCCTTTCCCGTTGTGTGGTCTTAGACAAAGTCCTTGAGCTTGCATTTCCCCGGGTAGAGTATGAATTGGAGAGAAAGAAGACCCCAGAAGAACTGGCTTTAAATCTCGGCTCTGTCTCTCACCTAGATGTTTACCTATAATTCCTGGGTCTCGGTTCACCCATTTATGAGTGAGGACTTGCATGGGAAGGGGTGTTGTGAAGTCATGGGTAGCAATAGACTCTCTAAGAAAGGCCTGGCTTGGGTGGTGTTTGTTCCATATTCAGTGGGCACCTTGGCTAATGAGGATTCATTATGGGTGGGGTGGGGGTCACGGTACCCCCTTATCCACCTATGAGGTGAGAGTGAAGACAAGGGGATAAGATCACTCAGGTGACCTGAGGAGGCCGCGGGTGTGAGATGGGAGGTAGTAGGAGAAAGAATGTCCCAATGGAACACAGCAGGGAAAAGGAAGCATGCAGGTAGCCCTGAGCTGGCTGGACCATCATGCTCATGGTCCTCAGAGTGTCCTCAGAGAAAGAAGGAGCCTGGGAGTTGGTACTATGGACCATCTTCTGATATCTGAGTAGGGAAGATGTTAGCTGCCTCCACTATCTGTGAGCACTTCTTCCTGGGCTTCCTCCTGCCCTGGAACTGTGGGTACCACCTGGAGTCGGGGAAGAGGCACATGGCTCGAACCCTAGGAGGTCAGAACTCAGTCTAGCTAGGGCAGGACTACAGGCGTGAAGGAGCAGGGATGATGGGGGCAGTGGGCTGGCTTTTACTCCAACTCCAAACTCCCCAGTGACAGTGTCCCCAAGTCCTTTCTGAACTCTATGTTGATTCTTGTTGCTTAGGGGCCTCTGTGTTCTTGGGGCACAGAAGGCAGGCCGTTCTAGGAAGGGACGTGCTAGGCATGATAAAAGAAAAGTCCCTGGGGTGGGCAGTACCCAGCAAGGTACAGGTTTGACTAGAACCAAGGGGAAAGGGGTGCCACTTGAAGGATGACAAAAAAACTACCAGGGACACCTGGGCTGGCCCAGGCGAATGTTCTCAGTGCCTCAAGGTAGAGCCTGGGGCCAGACCGGGCAGTGCGGACTCCACGCCTCAGGCAGGGCCCCCAAGGATGCGTGCCCGGGCCCTGGGAGGCCGGGTTGGGATTGAATCGCGGCCAAGAAATAAGTACAGTCTGGGCACCCGGGCCAGGGCATTCTCAGGGCTCCTTCCTCATTCCTGGCCCTGTGGGAGTAGCCGGACCCTGCGCTCCATTGCAGCCGCCACTGGGGATTTGATGACTGCCTCATGGGGACCCAGGGCTTCCTGCCAGCCTGGGCCCCAGGCATGCTTCAGCCTACAGATCATTAGGCCCCAGCCTTGGGCCACCTCTTGCTCTCTCTCTGATGGAGAGGCTAAGGCTGTGACTCAGGGAGGGTCATCCCAAGGCTTTCCATGCATCAGGAAAGAACAAGGGTCAGATGCAAGGTCCTGCAAGCCCCCTTTTGGAAAGCACGGTTGGAGCCTCCTCCAGGAGACTTGGATATAGCGTATGTTCTGTGGGTGCTCAAAGGACACATGGCTGGCTGTTAGATCAGCAGTTCCACACAATGCCAGGCTTCCCGGGACAGCGGGCAGTGGCCAAACCAGCCCTGCCACATGCCTTCTGACCCTGGGTAGGAATGCCATTCACCGTAGGCAGTGCATGGTCACCACAGGCTGTGGCCAAGCAATCAGTTAGGGCTGCAAACCCCTAAGGACTCTGGGCTCAGGCCTCTGTGAAAACATAAGGCCCTAGAAGTTCACTCAAACAGCTGGGAAGATCCCAGGTCCTCAGGCCTGGGAGTCTGAAGTCAGAAGGGAATGGAGGTAGAGACAGGACCTTCTACCTGCCCCCTCCATCTGGGGGCATATTGGGCCCAGCTCTGTGGTTAATTACTGGATATCAGACCATTAGGTCTTGTATCCTTGCAGTCTGAAGCCTTTTAGAAAAGCTCCAAGGTCTATGCATAAGCATATATCTGGGGATTCTTGCTGGCTGGTGGAGGCAGGGCAAGCCTGATGGGCCTGGCTGAGCCTGACCAAGGGCCTCAAGTCCAGAATGGAAGGAAGCAGGCCTCTTAGCCAGCAGAGGAGGTGAAGGAAGTGGGCAAGACTTAAGGGTTCAGCCATGGTGGGCAGTGTGTGTCCCCACTCCATGAAGACTCCACACAGTCACGTTTCTGATTCCAGCTTTTATTGGGGCCAAGTGCTCCCCTCCAGAGGAGGCAGCAACACAGCCCATCAGAAGTAGGGCACTTCAAGGACATGTGGTGCCCGACTACCTCCACCCCAGCACACAGCATTGGGACAGCCAGTGCCCTGCCTGGGTCCACTGACCACCTCTCTCCCCTAGGCAAGGTCTGCAGCTGACCGAATGCAGGCGCAGGTGCCTGGCAGCCCAGGGACAGTGCGAATCGCCTCGGTGGCATCAGGGGCCCCCGAGGGTCTAATTCAAGCAGAAGGAGGAGCCTGGCTTGGGGGACAGCAGCCAAAGCCATCCCCCATCCCCTCCAGTACCCAGTGTAGGTCACAATAACTTAAGAGACATGACAGACGGGGGACGCTATATAACAATATAAGTTAACCAGGCTCCTCACAGGGGATACTGGGCTATGGACTTGGGCATCCCAGGACTTAGGGTGAGGAGATGGGGCCAGGATCGGGGTGGGACATCTCCAGCAGCCCGGAGGCTTGGAACATCCTGACATGATAGGGACACACAGCTGGATGCAAGGCAAGGGCAAACAGGGATTACTTTCCCCAGGTCAATGTCTAGGCCACCTGACTTAGTAGCCACCAAACCCCACATTCTCATGGACTTCTGCTATGAAAATACCTTAGTGTAGGGAAGGCTGTGGGCAGTTGTGCTGTCAGACCTGGCAAGTCCTTACCTCTGCCATGTGCTGTGAAGGAGAAGGAGGACATGCCCAGGTCTGAGCTCTTATGTCCCCCTCTGGAAGATCCTGAGGAAAGAGGGTGTCAGCCTCTCACAGACCCCTGCTCGAGGGTCCCATGTCCTCACAATGTGAGGACTCTCGAGCAGGTGTCTGTGGACAGTAGGCAGGGGTCCTAGCAGATAGAGTGCTAGGTCTGGGTGCCAGGTCTCTGGCATCAGGGTCAGAGTAGAAGGGCAAACCCCAAGGCACTGGGAGAAGGTGCAGCCTCCCATCTCCTTGGCTACTTCCAGAGTTTGGGCTGCATGGGGCTGTAGGGGTACAGTACACAGAGTAAATATTCAGATTGCTTTGTGTCTATCTGTCATATGGGGCAACTGTCCCCGACCTCTCCTGACCCTGTGGGCAGTCTTGGGGATCAGGTTGGCTCTAGAATAGATGGTATTTGTAAACTGGAGGTGGAGGCTGCAGCGGGCTGGGAGGGTGAAGGGTTAGGAAAAGGAAGAGGCGTGCCTGGAACCTGACACAAGCCACATTTGATTACATGACAGTTTCCAAATGGAATGGAAGATGGGCTGTCCTCTGAGGCCATCGCAAGCAAGCCTTGCAGGCCCATCTACCCCCACCCAGAGTGCTGCTGAGGGGTCCCCCAACCAGCCAGCCTCCTTGCCAACCCTGACACCCCTGGGTCCTGCAAGGAGCAGAGGACCCTTGAGGGAGGGGCCAGAAATGAGTGAAAGGAGACGGTGGTGGGACAACCTCCAATAGAGTTAGGTCTGGCTACCTGGTTGTTAGTACTGAGTCTTCCTCTGATGCTAAGAAAACATAAATAATTTTGTCAACATCCGTCCACACTGCCCCGGGCCTAGTGACACATCCCAGGAAACAGTTTTGAGTGTGACTGGTGGGTGTGGCCTTTCTGTGTCCAACCACCAGGCAGGGAGGTGACCTTCAGAGTCTCACGGTCACTTTGAAGTTCAATTTCCCAAAGAGAAGTAAAGGAATTTGTCCCCATTGGGTACCAGACCATTGTGTTGGCTTTGGATACTGAGCAGGTCAGGGCACTGTGTGCCTCTGGAGGTGACACAGCAGGTAGGGCGGAGCCTGGAGTACCCCGAGCTCCCTATCCCCAACTCTACCCTCCTGTGCCCACAGCTGGCAGCTCCGGAAGAAAAGGATGTGCAAAATGTCGAGGGCCACGGGGTGGGCCGGCGCCGTGTGCGCCTGCACCGCAGCCTCACTTGCATGTGAAGACCTCGGTGCGCTCGCTGCATGTGTTGCACTTGACGAAGCAACACCAGTGGAATTTGCAGTTGCACTGCCACACCTTGGTGTACTGGTGCGTGTTGTAGCCACGGCCACAGCACATAGTGTCGCAGCCATCGGCGCCGGGAGAGGTGCGGTTGCACAGGCGGCCCTGCGTACCCACGCTGCCCGTGGCTGCGTCCTCTTCGCAGTAGTTGGGCGACTTCTCAATGTACACCAGGTCCGTCTCCATGGGCTTCTGGTAGCTGCGCAGCTGCTTGATGCGCAGGAAGGTGGGCTGGCGCAGACGGCTGGCACGCACCACCTCTACCTGTACAGCTGCGTTGTATTTCTCCTTGAGCAGATGGCCCACCTCACGGAACTTGGGCAGCGTGGTCCAGCAGGTCTTAGTGGTACATGAGCCCGACACACCGTGACACTTACATTCAAGCTTCATGCGGTCCTCCAGAACCTACAAGCCACAGAGTAGAGACTCAGCAGGGAATGGAAGAGGCTGGGTGCACTCCAGAGTTCCTTGTGTCTTCTCCATGAGCTCATTCGTTTAAGCTACTAAAAATGGGCTCCCATGTGCACACTCAGTAGAGTGTGGTCTGTTTGATCAGAGTTATTTGGTTAAATCCAGCCCCAATGAGGAAATGGAACCGGGGCCACTTGCAGGGCAGCAGGTAGGGACGCTGGCTGGGAGAGGCCCAGCAACACCAGGTGATTAATAAGCACAGGCCCTTCGTGTCTCCACTCCCGGCGAACGCCTTATGCCTGGTGCAGGGCCTGGCATGCAGTCAGGGCTTAGCAGCCAGTTGCTTAATGACAGCCTGGCGTGCCAGTGATGGAGGGAACTGGGAGGGTGAGGGCACGGGTCAGCGAGGCCCAGTCGTGCCATCCTCTGGGAAGCCAACAGCCAGGCCTAGCCGGTTGTTGTTCTTTCTCCCGGATGCATGAGGGCCCGGGATGGGTGCAACCCTGTGTTTTTGTTGGGCCTCCCTCTCGCCAGTTCCCAGAGCCAGCCCTGACCCCAGGTACTCATTTACCCAGATCGAAAGGGCCCTGCCAGCCAGCCTGATAAAAGATGGAGAATTGCGGTTAGCTGCAGCCCTGTGGCTGCAGAGGGGCCATTTGTCAGCTGTCCCTCCTTCACTGGCCTCCCCTCCACAGACTGGACCTTCCAGCATTCAGTCCCTAGCCCCACCCCCAGGACAGAACTCACTGTCAAGGGCACCTGTTGCCAGACCCAGCTCTGCCCCAGACAAGAAACCTCTGCAAGTGTGTGTGTGTGTGTGTGTGTGTGTGTGTGTGTGTCGATGAGTGAAAGTAAGAATCCCACAGAGACTGCCTTCACCTCAGCACCTTCCCTGAATCTCACAGGGGACCTCTGGCATACATGATCCAGTAAAGAAACAAGAGGAAACACTCATGACTCCAAGGGCCTGTGGGAGCTCACAATTTTGCAGGGCTCACATCTTAATCCATAACCATGAGACACAGTGAACATTGGGAATGATGCGAGTCTTCTGAGACCTCAAAGCCTGTCTCCTAGTGACACATCTCCTCCAATAAAGCCACTCTTTCCAACCCTTCCCAAACAGCTCCACCAACTGGGAATCAATTATTCAAACATGGGAGCCATTCTCATTCACACCACATCTGTGCAAAGCAAGCCAGGGTGTGCAGTTACCTAGTGGTAGCTGTGGAGGTTTCCTGGAGAAGGTGATGCTTATGGTATGTAGTAGCTCATGAGATAGGCAGGGGGCTAGAAGGGGCATTCCAAGAGAGCCTACCAAAAGACACAACAATGCCACTGAAAATCCAGGGCATCATGGGGTTCTATGCTTCTCATTGCTGGATGGACCCTGGGCAGTTATCCCCCATGACTGTTCTTCAGCTAAGTGAATGATGGCCTGCAGTGAGGACCAGGGAAGCAGGCCAGGAGGAAAGAGGAGACTGAGGTAGGACTGGCCCAGGTTTCATGTAGAGGGAAAGGGAAACACTGTGGCCTCCAGACTGGGTGGGCCAGAAAGGTCTGAGAGTGAGGCCAGAGTGGTATCATGCATACTTGTTCCCTACATCTCCCATCCCTTGTCCATCCCGTGACTCTCCTGCTTTGTCTGGCTCTGCCCTCTTCTACTAGTCTTCTGCAGTCATAGTAAGTCTCCTGCCCTGGCCACCTGCCCACCAGCTAGCTAGACTGGCCCTCTCAGGTCCCAGGCAGGAGTAGCAGGTCACTCAGGGTCTGGCTGACAATTCTTCTCCAATAGCTGAGATCAGTCAGGATCCAGGTTGGGGCCATGCAGGCTAGCAGTCAGTTATCAGTGTTGCTGCAGCCTGCTGGTCACCTCTTGCCCAGGCCATAGCTCTGGAGACTCATTGGAGATCTGTAGTCTGTTGCTCTCCTCTACCCCTGCCTGCCTGAGGACATCAGATCCTGCACAGCCCTGCTGGTGACAAGGGCAGATGAAGTTGATTGGGCAGGTGTTTGCAGAGTGAGGGGCCGAATCCTCGCTTGGCTGGGTCCCCTGAGCTGGAGCCTCGCCGGGAAGTGATCACAGGATTCAAGAATGTGCCGTTTCCTTCTCCAGAGCCCTTGCCATCAGAGCGACAACAGCTGTGGCGCCAGGGACAGCCAGGAGCTTGGGACACTGAGACCAGCCCAGGCACTCAGGAGACACTGGGAGATTGCAGAAGGAGGCCTGAGGCTGACTGCTTTTGCAGGCCTGGTTCCCTCCAACACGGGGAAGTGGGGTGCCAACTGCACCCATGGTGGAGCCAGGGCCTCAGAGTAGCACCTCTTTCGACCAGGCTAGGGGAGTCATTAGGCTGAAGCCAAAGTCCTTTAGGATAAGTCTAGATAGCTCAGGGGACTCTAGCATCCCTCTATCCCAGCAGGGCAGGTCTGGGTGGGAATGGTGCCTCACATTCAGCCTGGGGGTAATTGAAGTCTCAGAGACAGACTATCAGTGGAGCTCTTGAGCCCTTGGATCTTGTGGGTGGCCTGGCCTCTCAAAGGCTCTGGGAACTGCAGGGACATGGCTTTGCCTGTTCCCCTTTCTGACTCTGGGCCCAGGAATGGCTGGGCATCTTGTTGGCCTCAGAGCAGTAACCACACTCTGGGCTTGGTGTGGGTTTCCCTCCCATATCTGGACAGTGGGATAAGAAGCCTACTCAGAGCCACTGTCAAGGACCCTTGGTCAGGACATGGTCTGTGGCCAGCTGATAGGGTGCTATCCCCCAGCTCTCAGCAACAGCTTCCAGCCTGGGTGGGTATTAATGGAAGGACCCCAGTGCTGTCCAGAGCACCACACCTGAACCTCCAACAGGAATAGCCCTGGCCATCACCATCTCTTAAAAGGGTAAGAAACCATAGGTATCACCTCAGGCATTCATTCCATCTGCCTAATGCCCTTGCTCCACACTATGGTGGGGACCACAAAGGGACAAAACTGGCTTCCTCAATCTAAGTACTCTTTGGAAACAGTCTCTTTCTGCCCAGACACCAAGGGCACATCTCTGTGATGACCAGTATAGCCCATGAGGTGTCTGGGGAAGAGACACAGGGCAGGGTTGGTGGCCAGGGTGAGCTGGGCTCTGAGCTCATCCCATCTCACCCCTGTCCATCCAGGATCCCTGTCTGAGTTCCTGCAGTCTGAGGAGAATAGGGAGTGAGATGGTTGGAGGCTGCTGCTCATGATGCACCGCAGGAAATCTCAGAAGGAACCTCACTGGGATGAGATAAAGGTAAAATGGAACCCTGTCCATCTGGAATAGGGTGGCCCACAAAACAGTGAGTGTCCTCCTATAAGACACATGAGACAACAGTCCAGTAGAGGCCACAGAGTCAGCAGCAGAGGCTGGACCAACACGACACAAGCCAACACATGCTGGGACCTCTAGAAACTGGTCAAGGCAAACAGGACCCCGTTCCACTCCCACACTCTACCTTTGGAGAGAGCATGGCCCACCACACCTAGCTTCCAGTGCCAGGAAGTGGGAGAACACACATCTGTCAAGTTTACACTGTGAGTCTGAGGTGCTCTGAGACTTCGGTCTGATGCCCTAGGATAGGTTCAGACCCTGCACTGGAGCAGTGTGACAGCCTTAGGCCCTCAGCACCCCCTCCCACCACAGCTAGTGCTAGCACCCAGCTGCTTGGAAGAAAAGGCTCACATGTGACCACCAGCTGGCTTTCAGCGGTTCAGGCCAAAGTGTGCTCACAGCTTCAAGGGGTGAGGCTACTAGAGGGGCAGCAGAGGAGTCTGGCAAAGTATCCAGGATCCATTGTGCCCATGGGGAGACTAAGGCTCAGTAGAGGGACAGGGCTAATTCCCACATGACTGAGGATAAAGCTGGCATGAGGACCATGGCCTTTAATCACTATTTCTTTTAGTGGGTGGGGGAGGCAGTGTCTTACTATGTAGTCCTAGCTAGCCTAGAACTCACTGTGTAGACCAGGCTGGCCTCAAACTCCCAGAGATCTGCCTGCTTCTGCCTTTTGAGTGCTGGGATTAAAGGCATGTACTATCACATCTGGCTCTTTCTCTTTTTGAGACAGGGTCTTGTTGTGTAGCTCAGGCTAGTCTAAAACTCACAATCCCTCTCATCCTCAGTGATGTAAAGGGTACCACTGACCCTTTACAGCCTGTTCCTAACCAGCCCCCACCTATCCTGCTCTCCCGTGGTCTGTTCCTCCATCTCAGTTCATGGCACCACTTCCCTTCAAAGCCCTAGTATGGTGTCTGGGCTCTTCATATGCCCTCATCCCCAGCCAACAGCTGCCATTTTGGTCCCTAGTCCCACTATCAGCCTCCATCTTCCCATATCTCCAGGAGCCATTCCTGCCTTAACCCCTTATACCTCTTTACCATACCGATCTCAGACCTAAACTGGAGATAATGCTAGCTGGTTCTCAGATGGCCCTTTGCCTGGAATTCTTGTCCCCACAAACAGGCCAGAACTCAGGCCTGAGGAGCCACTTGGCCAGCTCTGCAACAACCTGCCCTGGGGCTCACTGTCCTTGAGTGACTTGAGTTTCCAAGAGAAAAAAAAAAATCTGCTCAAAAACAAGCCACTGAAGAGACTCAGGGGCTCCTATGAGGGTCCAGCCTTGCTTATCTTCCATGTTAAAGGCCCCTTTTTCCAGCCTCCTGGTGGTGGTGGTGGGGCTTTAATTATCTGCTTTGAGCCAGCCTTTGTCTGGAGATGTTTGCCTCTGTGAATGCACTGGAGGCCACAGGGCCACTCTTTCCTCATTTGTCACCATAATGTAACAGCCCCCTCTGGGGGACACCCCACATCAAAGTCAACCCTCATCTTGTTCTATGCCAGCTCCTGTTTCTTTGGGTCTGACTCATCCACTCATCCTGCTCTCATTGGCTGGAACTGCTTGCAGTCATTCCCCAGGATCAGCCTTCTCGGCCTTTCCCCTGAATGTCCTTCAAGACCCCACTCCTATGCCAGCTCCTCCAGGAAGTTCCTGTGCCTTCCCCTGGACTCCTAGGTCTTTTATATCCTTAGGTGATCCCAGACCCCTAGCCAGCTGGGTTTCTTTTTATTGCCTGGCACAGGAAAAGGGCAGAGTCTTGAGTATGAATGAATGAGATACTGGTTTCTACCATATCCCCTGAGCTGGAGACTCATCAATTCTTCTTTGCCTGGAAAAGCCAGTTCACCCCAGGCCCAAGAAGCCCCCAGGCCCTGCAGGCATGGGTGCAGCCCCTAGAGTCGAAGAGCCAGATCCAGTCCATGTTCTGCTCGGCTGGCTGCCCTATCTCGGGCCATCTTGCCGCCGTGGCAGCCGCTCCTCCTAGCACAGTATCTGGGGCCCTCATCTCCCTGTGGCGGCTGGGCTCACTCTGACTTCTTCCCTAGTGCGTCCTGACCTGATTGTCCTTCGTTCTCACCCTCACGCTATCCCACCCCTATGCAAACCTGCCTGTTCCCCAAGGGTCCACAGCTCACAGCACCCACCCATCGTGAGACAGTAATCTCCTTTCTTCCTCTGTCCTCAGCTGTCTGTGTTTTTTGTTTGTTTGTTTTGGGGGGCTTGGGGTTTTTTGTTTGTTTGCTTGGTTGGTTGGTTGGTTAGTTGATTAGCCTCTGGACCCAGGCATTCCTGCTATTATAGCCTGCGGCCTTGACCCACCTGCAGGTCCCTAGCCAGGCCCAGCTCATGTTTTACATAGAAATGGTTTCACATATCCAAAACCTGATATGCCATCTGTAGATGGGGCAAGGAGACTGCAGAGAGACGCAGAAGAGACACTAAGAGGACTCTGTCCAAGTACTTCCGTAGGCAGGTATCATGCCCCTGTGCCTGCCATGCCCGCCACACCAGCATGCTACCTTTCTGCCTGCCTCATTGTTGTGCAGGTTCATGAGGCGCCTGGCGTTCTTTTTGATCTCACGGGCATCCACAAATCGCCGGGAAAAGTCAATGCCGTAGCGCACATCAGCTGAGCAGCCTCCCCACTTCCAGCCTTCTGCCTGGTTGTAGTAACCTTGCTTCTCACGGTCACAGCCACAGTTGCTCAGGTTGCCCTGGCTGCAGGCAGCGGTGACAGCATGTGCCACGCCTGCTGCAGTGATGGCATATGTGAAGGCAGCTTCACGACTCCCTGTGGAGAGAGACACCAAGTATGGGTGATGGGGCCTTCAAGTTCCGAGCCAGGTGGTCACAGGGGGGATGTAGTTCATCTGCTGTGTGACTCTAGGCTCCGTACCTGCCTTCTCTGAACTTGCAACTCACTAAACTGGGGCTGATGAACCCCACCCTGAGAGGGGGGATAATAACATTTGAGTGGCATTTGTGACTAAAGTGACCCACCAACACACACCACTGTCATTTTCTGTCTCCCTGTTCCCAAAGGACAGGCCATTTGTGTTCTGGGCAGAAGGTGCTATTCTGGGCCGTGAGGAAGTTCATAGTCTCTGTACTCCAGTCAGGACCCACAGAGCTCAGAGCCTACCTCTTTCTCTCTGCTCATCGTTAGTTCGTTTCAAGCCATGTCCTCCCAGATCGCCCTCTCCTTCCAGCCTCTGGGCAGCAGCTACTCATCACTGAGTGTAGTCTAGGCAGGGCACCCCCTCAACCCCACCCCTGCTAACACCTGCTTGGCTTCCTTGGCCCTCTCCCCATTCTCTGTCAGGGATGATGACTCAAGTCTTCTGGGTGTGGTTCACACCTCCTGTAGATCTACTGGTCTTTGGGGGTAAAATTCCCTTCCCCCTTTGAGACCTAGCTCTAATGCCTCCTCCTCTGGGCAGCCTTCTCAGAATGAAATCCTCACTGCTCAGATGAAGACCCTTTCCATCAGGTTAGCCCTACAGAGGGCTTCCTGGATTCTTGTGGTCCAAAGGCTCCTCAAGTGGGCAAAGACCTGCCCTGTTTTCTTCTTGATCTACCACAGCCCCAGGCTGGGCCATGCAAGCCTTCCATCTTGGATTCTTTTTTCTCAGGTCTCTCCCTGTTCACCCACTCTCTATTTCCTTCAGAACTCCAGCTTCATGGTGCTGTGGGGTACCCAACAGACTTATGAAGGGCACCCCAGAAACCTAGGGCAACCTCCAGTGAGGAATGCCCCCTATCATCTCATCTACAGACAGCAGAGCCAGGGGTCAAATATGGCTAGGGTGGTGGAAAATCCAAGCCCAGCCTTAGCAAGGCCCCATGCCAGCACTTGCCTGTCCCTGGTACCGGGCTGCAGGCCCTGCTCCGAAGCTGTGTGTGACTACCACTACAGAATAATGGTTTTGAGTCAAGTCAGGTCTATAAAACACATCAAGAAACAACTCTATGGCTGGCCTAAGGCTACCAGCCTACCCACCAACAGGCTGGGGTGTACATGAGGGCATCTTCCTTCCTAGGAGGAGCTCATTGGGGGACTCTCTTACCTCAAGGTGAAGACAGGGTGGAGGCCACTGTCTCAGGCCTACAGCAATCTCCACTTTGCCCTGCTACCCTGTTTGGCTGCACTCCCCCTCCCCCACCCATCCCCTCTCTTGCCAGAGTCTGTGGGCTCTGGGATCCAATTATGACAAGAGATAAAAGAGATGAGAGATAACCCCTAAGCCCATTGGACTCTGTATAGTCCTGTGTGGCTAGTGTTGTTCTCAGACTCCCCAGAGCTGTCTTATCCTGCACTGGTGAAGGCTGGCCAGGAACCCCAGACAGAGCAGAAAAACTGGAAAGGTATAGGAATCTGTGTTCCCAGGGTCTAAATTGGGTCACCAAGACCCTAAGGGAAGCTGACAAGTTCCCTTTCCCCTCTGATCAGGCCTGGCAAAGTCAGCTGACCAACTGTTGAGGGATGATGGAGATGCACAACCCAGGTGGTTCTCAGGGTGCAGGGGGACTAGACAGCCACTGACCCGGATGGGGGCTTGGTAGAGGCGGAGTTGCCTTCCTAGTATGCACAGGTTGCAAGTTTCCAATGCTGGGGTCTAGAAATTCAAACCATTGTGCAATTCTGCAACTGGGGCAGATAGAGGTGGGTGTCACCCACCCCCACCCCCAGGCCAAGGCAGCCACCAGAGATGTTCAACATTTTCCAGTACAACCACGAAACCTATCTTGAAGCCTGAGGCAAGCAGGCAGGTGCCCTGGCTCGCAGGTGTGTTTCGGGATGACCCAAGGCGTCCTGCATGGGTCCTGCTTCAGGCCCCAGCTCTCACCTGCTTATGCCCACACTTGCTCTGATTCAGTTACTCAGCAGTTACTCATCAGGCTGCCACTCCTGCTAGGGACGCTTTTATTTGGTTTTAATGAGCCAAGCCCTTCGTCTGTTGCCATAGAGACAGGGAGAGGGGGAACAAGAGGCAAGTGGTAGTTTGTAGAGAAGAACAACCCATATGAGCTCAAGCAAAAGGGGTCCCTGCAACTGGCATGCTGCAATGTGTTCACTTTTGAGTCTTGAACGAGCCCTGGATGCTGGCTCAGTGGGCTTGGTAACTTGCCCCAGGCTGTGACACGCCCAGGGAGGAGTGACTCTAACTTCCCCATCACCCTTGGAGCCTTGGCCAGGGTTGCCCAGGGCCCTAGCCTGCTTCCTCCAGGAGAGAACAGGGAATACTGACTCAGAAGAGCCCGACCTTTACAGATGCAGACAGTCTGAGCTCAAGGACTTTGTTCAACAACCACTATAGCTCCCAAGATGTCTGAGATGAATTCCAGTATCCTGGCCTAGTCCCCAAAGTCTCCAAGGCCTAATAGCATACTCTCCCCCACCATGAGCTGTAGCCCAACATGGCCAGGGTGAATGGTGGCCCATCTGTGGGTAAGGGTGAAGAAAGAAACCCCCAGCTCCCTGCCTCCTGCCTGACAGGCAGTGGCAACTTTGCCTTTAGTGATTCTCAGTGTCCCCATGTCACAGGCTCTGGATGCAGCTGGGGTCCTCCCTGTTCCAGAGTGTATCCTGGAGGCAACAGTGGGGTCAGTGTTCTCATGCATCCCACAACCAAGACCCTCTCCCTAATCCTCAGACGTGTGTGGATCGGGCCGCTTCATTTTATCTTATCCTTCCAATAACTCCCCAAAGTGGTCATTTTATTGGACACATTTCGCAGATAGGAAAACTGAGCCTCCTAGTGGTAAACTATTTGCTCTAGACAGTGACTGATGTCTTGGCTCCGGCTATTTCAGGTGATAGTTATGGCAGGGAAAAGGATGGAGTGAATGATGACAGCACACACGACCTGTTGTATGGTCACCATCTGTCCCGAGAGACCTAGGAGTCCTTTGGAATCCAAAACTAATCCTACACGGGTCTGCACCCATAAGTACCGTAAGCCCCAGTCTCCCGAAAAACACCAGAGATGGGTAAGTAGGGTCCCTGGGTGGATTTCTGAGTTTTGATGATCCTCGGGGGACTGAGCTGATATAGGACCCCATGTCCACATTTTGGATACATCAAAACAAGCACCATTAGCTGAGGGGCCCTGGCCAATGAAGGGGAAAGCAGAGAGGGGCATGCAGAGAGACTTGGAATAGGGAAGACAGAGGAACACTGCAGGAGGTGGGGAGTAGGCAAACCACAACCCTTCTAGAAGCCTGTGGCCTTGCAGGACTAGAATTTACCTCTCTGCCTGCAGCCAGCTCTGGAAGCAAACAGAACCAGTGACACTACCCCCATCACTACGAGGGAGAAGGTTGAGGCCAGTAGAGGAACCGTAGGATGGCTGGGCACTTCTCAGGGTTCAGTGAGGCTGGGTGGGAACACCCTTCTCCAGGGCTGATACTTTCAGCACTGCCCAGCAGTCTCTACCATCTTTATCCTAAGTAAACCCAGGCGTATGAAGGCAGCAGATTCTGAGACCACCACCAGGTGGGTGAACCTCAGCTGTAGAGCAGAGGCTAACCAAGCCCTGGAGGTGGGGGTGGGGTGGGGGAGGACTGTCCAGTTCAGTGCTCTTAGGTTATTCAAACTCTTGCCCTCTCCGAGCACCTGGGCTCCCCACCCAGCTGACACAAGCTGGGTTCATAGGACAACGCATATGACCCCTGCCTCTCATGTGCCTACAGTGTCATACTGGAGCTGAGTCTCAACTGCTTATTGTCCTCTCATACTGACTCCAAGAGAACACCATTAGGCAGATATAATGCTTTGCTGCCCAAAGCAGAGGCAGGATAGGGCCCCCGGACTCAGTGCAGAACCGGGGCTAAGCCTACCCCCTGACCTATCAATCAAGCTACCTGCCACTTCCTGGCATCTACATGGGCTACACACTATTTTTAGAATGCTATAAAAGACAGAATTGAGCTCATAATGACCCCATGAGCTACACTGGGGAGGCTGAACTACAAAAGCCATTGGCTGTCTCTCAGAAGAGGGGTTGGGGACCAGGAACTCAGTTCTGAAAAGGCCCTGGAAGACTTTCTAGTTACATACCTTTTCAAGGAGACCGAGGGAGGCCTAGAGAAGGATAACATACTTCCCGATATCATACAGCAGCTCAGGATGTGGCAGACCTGGGACTTACAGGCCAAAGTCACTCAAGTCAGAGGCCAGAGGTCTGGAGTTACCCAGGGCCTAGAGTCCTCTAGAAGTCCAGATCCTAAAACTGGCTACTTGGGTGATGCTGACCCAGACAAAAGGCCTTCCCGTATCCCTATGGCCATACATAGTGTCCCAGACAGACTGGCCTAAGCTTTGTACCCACATATTACACATACAGGTTCTTTGTGATATGCACATGCTTGAGCAACCCCATGTGGTATGTGTGATTCATGTGTCCACACATATGCATGTGGGTATGCATAAACCTTTGTTTAAACTCAGTACCTGGGAACGCACACGAAGTGGGTGCCTATGTGGCCTACACTCAGGACACTTCTTCTACCAACCCTCATAAAACAAACAAACAAAAAACATTGTCTTCAAGTCACTAATAAAAAAATAAAGCAACAAACCAATTAAAAAATGGGCAAAGGAGGGGATTTGGGCATGGCCCAGTGGCCAGCACTTGCTTAGCATGGAGTAGGTACCCGGTTTCATTCCCAGGATTGCCAAAAAGAAGGGGCGGCAGCAGATGGGAGCGTGTGTGTGCAAAGACTCTGAAAAGACATTTCTTAAAAAGAGTATGAAAATGGCCAATAAACACATGAAAAGATTCTCAATGC